AACAAACAACACATTGCCAACAAATGTTTCTCTGCGTTTGCCAGAGTCGGACCGCCATTGGCTGACGCATTTGTCGATGATCGCAGCGAATCGTTCAGTTGTTTTCAAGGGTCATCTAACGAATAAATGCTCTGCAAAACAGCCGAAATGCACCGTGCAAATTGAACTCATTGATAACGGTTGGTTTAACTCTGTACTGACTCACCCGTTGAGTGGTTTTTGTGTTGTAGTTGGAGTGAAGTATTTCTTGACGATCACCAATTTGAAGTGTCTGAATGGAGTGATAAAATGATGTTTTTTTTTGTTAAAATGATGTAAGGCTGGGAATGAAAATTTTAGTTTTTTTAGTAATTCAGTTGAAGTTATACGTTTATATGATATTCATTTCAAGGTTCAACAATTCCGTCAGCAACCATCGGTGATGGGATTGTAACAGTAAGTGGTCGCATTGCAATTTGGAAGTTGCTGGGCGCATTGTTGGGTCTCTACACATTTGATTCAACGCATGCATCCCTATCGACACACGTCGACAAGTGGCTTCTGATGGCACAGCAGTGTGTTATGGGTCGTATTGGTCATGAGGAGGTATGCCGTGAAATGAATCCAGCGTTGAGTAGAAGTGATTATTTGGCTAGTGCAAGCTTTGCAACTCTAGCCGATGTGATCTTGAAATCTGTGGTTGATAAGAACGGCGCATATTACGCGAGTAATGTTGAAATGTGGTTGGCTAGAATGGGGCAAGCTATGGCTCTGTGTTAGTTCGACCAGTCTAATTCTGAAAATTAAATTGAATTGTACTCGTGAAAATTAAATTGAATTGTACTCGTCTGATAGGGTTCTTCTTTAAGAAGTTTAACTCTCTGACATCGTTTTTTTTAAGAACCAGTCAGTATTTATCGTATATTTAGAGTAATATCGGAAAGGAGATGGAATATTACTTTCAATGAGCTGTTGTTTTTTCTGTTGATGTTTTGCGCAGAAAAGTTGTTGTGATAAGATTTTGTTGATTTTGCAATTGTTTTATTACTGTGATGGTCACGATTTGTTTTCACAGAGTCATATTTATAATGTACGAGTGGTTGAAGCAATATTGAATGGTTGAACGCAACAATTAATAAATTTTGTTGTTGATTAAGTTTTGCGTTCGTTTGTTTTTCGCATCAACGCTAATGCTGTTTCACATTGATCATCTGCGTAATTATTTCTTCGAAAACATGAAAGTTCCTTCAAGTCACGTTGTGATAATGGCACATGCAGAGCACTTGAGTAGGAGTAACATTAATGTTTATAATGATAATCTCAAAGTAATTTTTTTCACAAATTCAAAAAGTTCTCGAACTTAGAATGGCTCTGACATCAGAAGCAAATGATGAAACTATTGAAAAGAGGAAGGAAAAGATAAAATATTAGTTGTTCCGTCAAAGCGAACAATAACTTGTTTTCGATGAGGAGTTTTTGAATGTTACTACAAATGGTAATGTTTTGCTGTTGGCTAGAGTTTGAAGTTTTGAGAAGTAAGTTGCGGTTGTACTGCTTAACTATTGAAAACTGGACAGTTGATCTGTATTTTGAAGCAGCTGATAATAAACGTCGTGTTGCTGCGGATCTGGGTAGTGTCACAATTGCGATTATGCAATCAGTTTGTGTACTCATGTTAGATGTTTTCGTCAGTTGATAGCAAAATCAAAAAGCCTTATAGTTAGCATCAGCACTTTATGCTTGGTGTTGATTGCAGATTGAAAGAGGATATGCCTTTCATGCACGGAACGATGCCGCTTCGGCGGACGTTCCTTTATTTGCATAGAGGCAAGATACATTTTCGAGATAATGTTCAGGTAAGTCGAAGACAATGTTCAGTTTATTTTCAAGCATTTGATATTCGCATATTTCATGGGTTTGTGGTTTTCTGTTATGAGAACCATCATTACCTTCGACATGGTGATATTCTGTACCTTCGACATAACATCTTAACGGTTTTTTACTAGTCGCCTGTCCTTAAATGGCCTGTATGATGGGATATTTCGGAAATAAGTTAACTTGCTGAAATTTTTGATCGCTTTCCGTTGTCTGGTAGCTGCTTTTTAGATTCATTTAGTTTTTAGATTCGATTAGCGTTTTTAGGTTCTATCGTTTGGCTACAATCGTCGTCCCACAGAAGCGCAAAAAGGAGCCAGAGAATTTGTTTTCTGGCACTGGGCTCAGCTTCAGTATCACAATCCCAAAGTTCAGTTGGTGAAGCATGTCGATCTGACAGTTATTCCATTCGCTCAGGCTTTCTTAAGTTCGTTCCTTGTTTTATTTCAATCAGTGTTATTCCCATACAGGAATACGTATCAAAGTCTTCTGCTTCACTCTGTATTCATCAAGTTTTAATATTCTACTCGTACGTTCCAATACTAAAACTTCTGCAAGCCTATAAAATGCGGCTCAGTTGTAAGCAATACATAATCAAAAACAATGCGATGTGGCACAATTGTGAGCGGGAAGCTAATCGCTAATTTTGAACCATTTATAATCATTTTATGAATGGTGTCGGCTGAAAGAAGAAGTTCTGAAACAATTTTGCAATAATAGTTTTATGATTGCAAATGAAGATCGAACACAAAACTGAATGTATACTTTGTGTCTTATTTCAGAAGATGGCCGTGAAGTGTTATTCGATTTGGAGGGTCGAAGTCGTGAAGAAATCGTTGAGATGTTGCAGGGGACACTGGGCAAGACAGAGTTGGTTCGTAAGAGGGAACGACTTGAGGCTATTTTCGAACGTAATCCGGCCTCTTTCGGCAGTAAATGTGAACGACAGTGCATGTGTGAGGTTCAAGGACAGCACCCGTGCACGTCACTTCTACGTGCACCGCAATATTTACGTGGCAAATGGCGATGGAATCACAATATTCTCTAGATTTATTCAGAATATTCTGGAAAAATCACAATATTCTAAATCTGTCATTTGTTTGTCTCCGATCAGAAGTGATTTTTGTTCGTATTGTTACTGATTGCTCGACAATCCCTCTAATTTTCCTTGTGTCACATTTATGCAAAACGGTGAGATTTCTGATGTAATCGCTTTGCTGCGTTTCGAAAGTGTTATTCGCAAAAAATGGATTCCTAGTTGAGACAGTTTGTTGAGTTATTCAATTGAATTGAGAGTGATTCTTTGAAACAGTTTGAGTACAACTTCACGGTAACGGTTTGAGGCTCACTGCAATCTTTGTCGTCGTTTTCTCGCGATTTGTCGTGATTCTATAAGCGTTTTGCTTTATTAGTGAAAATTGTGTGCATATTTTATTATATTGTCATCGTTGTTTTTATTTGAAAGAATTGTTTATGTTTTGATTGGTTTCGTTGTTATTTCACGATGTACCTTTAGGGATGTGGCGAATTTTGTTTCATTAAGTGTGCTAATTCAGATATTACCGAAGCAGTAATGTATATTGAATTCGTGGATAAAGTTTTCAAATTACGCTTCACATGCACATTGTTGTCAGTGTTTACTTTAGAGTGGTGTGATAAATGAGTTGATATTTTAGTCTATAACAAGTGAAATGAATCAAGTGCAATGCTGTGAACATTTCGAAATGATTCTAAAAGTTGATCAATTGAAGCCGTATTCGGAAGAAGAAAAA